CAACTCGTGAATTCTCAGACCATCCATTAATTTTTATGATTTTTAATAACAAAACATCTGTCTTGGTAACTTTTTTCAAGGAAAAAATTAACGATGATCTTTCTTATTGGTGAGTATATGCTGAAATATTAAACATCCCTTTTTATCTTGCATTTTATGTCGTGCTAAATGCTACCATAGAACTGCAAAATTCCGAAGTAAACGATTATCGAGAACTTAAATTTTAATTCGTGTTCCTGCATTCCAAGTATAATTTCCTCCATTGATTTAAATTATCTTTTAAGACCGTCCAGCAAACATCAAAGCAAAGGTGGGCAAAGATTTTAATTGCTCAGAATTGAATCCAATTAAGTTTGCGTTAATCCTGGCTTAGTCTTGGAAAATACTCCCCACCCTTTTACACTCAGAGCTACAATTGAATGTATGTCTTAACACTCTTCACTTAGGAGTCATTGATGGCACTGCATGCCGGATGCTTTCTGTGGATGGAGGTTTCAAGTCTGAGATTGAAATCGTATTGTCAGCAGTGACCTTTAGCTTCACATGATAGCTACTGAGCAGTACTTTCCCGTGATATATTATTCTTTATGCGGTTTTACAAGGAAGTTCCAATTTTTAAGTTCTTGGGTAAAATCCAAAAGTGTAACCAACCAAACGGCTGAGCAGTAGTGCTCTCGATTTGTTACGCTGTAAATGATGATTCTCTGCCTAGCCGTAAGATCATAGAATGTGGCCACTCAAGTGAAAGTTACTGAGCAGTACTTTCCTGTGGTACTGTTTATTATGCTGCACAAGGAAGTCGTAACTTTTGAGTCTGTGCATGAAATCCTTACGTGCGACCATTCAAATGAAAGCTAAAGAGCATTACTTTCCTTCCTATTAATTTTAGCTTCAGTATTTTACAAAACAAAATAATTTGCCTTGTTACTTTGGAAACTATCCAGCTTGAAAGGGTTAAGTGTACCCTTCAGTTTATTAGGAAAGACTGGTAGAGTTATCATGAAAAATAGCCTCGTATCACTCTAAGGCTTTAGCGGCATGTGCCCATTTCAATCAGATCCCGCCGCAGTGTCTGACACCCACTGTTATAGCCTCTTAAGTCAAGTATGTGCAATTCACCGGAATAGTTAAGCCAAGGGGTAAGAGCTAACTCATTTGTTGAGCCTTAAGTGTAATCATCTTTGACACTTAAGTTCCTTGAACTCACCGAATAGGAAAAACCAGTCACGTACGCTCATTGCAGTCTCTCTTTTGCGTTTTCACATGAGCCCAGCGCTTTTGAGTCTTCAACAAAGAGTATGCCAGTTCAGTCAGATTTGAAGGTAGTCAGTTACCTGAAAGTAACGTTGAATGATATGAACAGCATTCTATAACGAGCGGTTGTTTTGAGGGTTTTAAGCCTCATTAATCAGGGGCACCCAACGTCAACTTTCGGGAAAATGTCTGTTCGGAAGACGATTTGAGACCTAGAATTTTCGAAACACTGACATTTGTTGTAAAATTTCTTACCTGCCTGCCTCTCCTAGGATTTTCGAACATCTAAAAATTGTATAATTGCCTATTTTTAAAGGATTGTACCCTAAAAAGGTCACCTAGAATTCCCGGGAGCCTTTTTTCTGGCTGAAATTTTCGAATCGGTAAATTTTGATCCCAATAATCAGTTTCGGATCTCTAGACTTTCAGCTAGGAAATCCGAACAGATGAACAATTTTTAGGGGATAAAAATATGCCTATATCTACCGTTTAAATACTAAAATACGTTTAACTATGCTATATTTAAGTGGTTTTGAACTATATTCTCGTTGGGTGCCCCTGATTAATGCCCTATAGTTATAATCCTCGTTTGAATTTCGTGCCGAGCCTGCAGTAAAGGGCGGCGCTGCGTCCACGGAGAGACCAACTTACAGCTTCAAAAATTTGGTTAATCTGGTGTAACTCTTTGTAGTACTGCGACTTATAACTCTTCAAGTTTCTAAGACTCGGTTTAACTTACGCGCTATTTAGTTGAGTATTTTTATCTTTAAACACAAGTCTCATATTACGTGCTGTCACTGATTCATGATAGAAAAAGAGAGTTTTTTTACTCGACTAAATGACTACGTCGGTCCCTTCTGAAAACTGCATTCGAACGTTCGACAGTTCTCTATTACTTTTAATTTCTAAAAATTCAGAATAATCTTTCGAACAGCCCTATATCTGTAACGACAGCCTTGTAAGCAAAGTGTATTCTTAAATTTACCTGACTAGACTGAACCCCGGTAGCTGGCTTGCATCGCTATAAGCTGAAATTCGGAGCTAAGATAGGCTCAAAGGTTTGTAACAAGAAGTTTAGCCAACGGGTTGCCGGCATGATTTTTCTTTGTGAGTGGTATTAAAGTGGGGATTTTGATTTCGAAATCTTAACTAGTCTCAGCTTTGTACTCGGAAAATTTAAGGGCCTTGTTTACATGGAGATGGAGGACCCCAGGTAGGTGGGGTAACCCGCCTCTCCATATAATCTCTCATTTTAATTTGATCACGTTTACATGATGGTTTGGGTGACCTGCCACATGCTACCTCACCTATCTGGGGTCCCCCACCTCCGTGTAAACAGGCCTGAAGTCTACTCTAGTGTCAACTGTCATGCAAAAAAACGACAACCCTACAAAGGTCTACAAAGATTACATCGTAGAAAGGAACGTTCAGGGCTGGTCGAGAAATGCAGGTTTTTGGAAAGAAACTGAAAGAACCCAGAAGCAATGCAGCGCTTCGACAGCATCTCGAGTTTAAAAAGAAGGTCTATGATGAATAGCCCCTTAGTTAAATACAGGCTTCTAAAATCGTACCATTCTTCATTGTGCCAGTTTTGTGCCAAAAGAATGAAGAGGTCACGCCTTTTTCCAGTTTAAATAAGCTTTTCACTAATCAATTGTTAGTCCCTCATGGCATTTGATTATTTCATGTAACACAGGATATCTTAATCTTAAGCTCTCCAACTAAATTTATATCAATAGCGAATATAATCTAAGATGTAAATTCATAATTTATGAAGGACTATGATGTTCTAAAATCTGATATCAGGCACAGTTGAACTTTACCTTTTTTTTCCACTGAAAAATATCCCAGAGTGTCGGTTGTTGTAAAATGAACAGACTAGTGTCAATTCTTGTTTTATCAAGTGAAAAATACAATTGGCTTCACCCTGTTTTGTAAACTTGAAAAAACACTTCCGCTCGTGATTATTACCAACGGGTATCGCGCGAATGATTATATAGTCTCAGCGCTAACTAAACTGATAGGGACTATGCCTCTCCTTTTCTAAACTGAATAACCCTTTCAGAATCATCCAAGAATGGATTTCTTTTTTAGTTTGCCAGATAGAGAGACTTGACTAGCTTCACGTTAGCTATGAGGCTATGAAGGTGTCACGTTTTTATTACGTAGAAAAATTGCATCAAGCTTAATCGTTTTTGTCCTTTTACTTCCAAATTCAGTCAAAGGCTTTAGTCAAGGATATAACTAAGAGATCCGAAATCAATTTGAAATCCAAACACAAGCTTTATCGTGCGGAATCTACTCAAAGTTATAAAACTGAGAGGGTTGCCTATCTTGATTGTCAGCTTGAATTTAAATTGTTGGGCCTCACACAATATACACCGTTCCTCTTCAACGACTCAGCTTAAAGACAAACCACAAAATCAGTGAATTTCGGTGGACTTTAGATGATCCGCTTTGAGCCCTTACTAATGGACTCACTGGTTTCTTTTTTCACTCTCAACTACCTCCTCTTAACCCTGAAAAATTTAACAAGAATGACTCAAGAATGTCCACTGGCAGTACTTTATGCCAACGGTTGGTCGCGCGTACGAAGTGTTAAGTTCCCCTCAAGAACTCGAATACCCATAAGACTTCAACTCTTTTAAATCTGGCGAGTAAAAATAGTTATTAAACAACGGCCTCTTCTGTCGTGAGGCTGGGCCCGGATGTTTTCATATAATGCTGAGGGAAGCGGAAGCGCAATTGAACAAAGATTCGTTTCACTTTTATCTCTCACCACAAGGACATATTAAAAGCTTTCTTAGGCGTTATGGGTGTTCCGGAATGGGCTGACATAAAGCTATTGTATTAGGGTAAGGTTTTCCAGTTGATGTCTTTTGTTTTCGAAAACTTGCGCTTCCGCAACACCGCCGTCAGAAACTGAGCAATTGTGTTCGACCGACTGAACTTCCTGGCACTCCTTTGCAATCCCTAAAAACGATCATATATAAAAACCTGTAATGAACGCAGCTATAATTGTGATGATAATCTATGAAGCAATTAATTAAAACAACAAAAGAAACCATACAACTACAAAAATAACATTAAATACGTAATAAATAAATAAATTTAATTTTGCAATTCTAACTTTAACATTATATAAATTTCTTTAGAGTTTTGCTACTTGTAAACCTATATTCTCTTTTGGTGGTGTCAGTTTTTGTTGCACCAGCCGAACGATCGAATGATTCATTAAACTGAGCGGAGCTCCTATGAGAAGCTGGTTACTCTTTGCTCTTCTAGCTTCTTCCTCTTTTCTTGTCCGTAAATGCACTCAGGCTTAACATTTGTAATAATTGCTTTCAGTAATAAATTAACTTTTTTCAACCACACCTTTGAGCTACAATAGAAGTCCTTTGTTCATATAGTTTCTCTTTTGTTACTGAATTTGTATGTTTCATCATAAACGGTAATTCCTCAGTCGCAGTGTTTCTAATAAAAAGGCGTTTGTTATCTTTCTCATATGAGCGTATCGTGGTCCCGAAGGATCACTACAAGTTCCACATGTTGAAGCTGTTAATCATTTCCTCATTGATGAAAACTAAACGGTCTTTTGTTTTCGTGTTGTTCAAAGTAAAACACCTTTTGTTCGTGCTTGCTGAATATTGAATGCATCACTTTATTCAGCTGTTGAATCTTAAACAGTATTTGCAGACCACGCATTCATCAACGTAAGTGTTTTTATTGCATGAAAATAAAACTGTTCACGCTTCACTCTTTACGCATGTTGAAGAGTCCGGTTTTTCGTCAGCTTTCCTGTTTTCGTTCGCACGATGTTTTCTCTGATATCGCTGGTTTTGAAACCAATTTCTTATCTGCAGCTCCGTCATTTCCAGTCCCCTTGCTAATAAGGCGCGTTCGTCGCGTGTTAGATACTGTTGGCGGGAAAATATCTTCTCCAGATATTGAAGCTGACGCTGGGTGAAATGGCTGCGATTTCGCCGCTTCCGTTTTGGGCCATTTTCAGTCAGACACGTTTCTTTTACATTGCCTTCCTTCTTTTCCTTTTTGTGTCTTTCATCTAGAAAAAGAAATACAAAAATCATTTAAAACGTTACTGAGATGAATTCAAGACGAAAACGAGGTCATTATATGCATTTGGGATGTCGTGGACCTCACCAACAACACATTTGTTTTCGTGATGCGTAACTTAAGTTGTCACAATATATCGAGCTCGTTTATACCGTACCACGCTGCCGTTCAATCCTTTATCAGTTGCCGTGCTACGAAAACAAGGACCCCCACACCCTTTCATTTTGATTTCAATAACGTACTATGGCTACTAACGTAATTGTCAGTTAAGTCTCTTTGTTGCCTTTATTGGCCAATTTAAAGATGAAGGCCAAAATAGATCAAAACAAAATGTCCTTGATTTGATACCGTGATACATAATTGAACTTAATTCAATATGACGCACTTGAATCTGTTCAAATATCAAGATATCATTGTTGAAAGTCAATATGTCACTGTGAGAGCTAAGTGAACCACGCTAATTTTTTCCTTTGAAACATTGTATAACGAAAATTAGCAAAGCTATGTTTCTCCCACTCTGTGACGTATTTTGTCCTTAGATTTAAAAAAAAAACGCTTTTTTAAGCAAATAATGAGTAACAATAGGAACTTCTCAAATTGGTTAATTCAAAAAACAATTATGGGGCAGTATTACTTAGCTCGCACACTACAAGATCAATATTAATACTTTATCCTTCAGCCAACAACACAAAAACAAGATGGATCGATTTGGATATATATTAAGTGAATCATATGTATAAGTTACAGATGAAGCATGTCTATTGTGATTTAAATGAGTTCCTCCTTAGTTTTCAGTGGCCAACACAAACAGTTGATGGCATACTGTCAAATAACTGAGCGAACAACGCCTTCTTAATGATGAAAAGGAAAAAATGGAAACCAATTTCTTGTATCGGTTGTCTTGTATGTCTCAGATTTGTAGTCCAGTTTTCTTATTGTCCACCCTATTTTCTCGCTCTCTTTCGTTTTATTTCTTTCTCTGGAAAAAGACCCATAAAGTTTATCTATTTCTGTACATATAGAAAATTCATGATGCATTTTTTAACTTTAAAAATGTATTTATTCAGTTTCCAACTTTTGACTTCGCGAGTCAACACTGAGTTGTGTACTAGGGTGTGTATAAATCAATAAAGTTACATGCAGAACCAGTCAAACGAAACGTTTTCAGCATTAATTATAAGGTCTAGTTACCAAAATGTAACTTTGTTTATGCCCCCAACAAAAATTCATATTTTAAATTTTACTTATTTTGAGCTTTCTATCTTCTCGAAAGTGAAGCCTTAGTCGTAAACGGAATTTGCCTGTTTTTCCTGTTTCAGGTCAGGAAAAGGAGGTGCCTGCCCAGTGTAAAGTCCAACTTGAAAAAAAAAAAATTACCAAAAGTTGTTTCACTGTTGCGATAGAAACATTATTGAAAACAGTACTTAATCTGATTTATTCAGCGAGCAACTTCAAAATTTTAAGCTCATCTTTCAGAGAATCACACGAAAAAAAAAATTTGAACACAGCTTCTTGAATATCGAAAAGAGGTTATATTATCTGAGAATGTAATTTGAAGTAACTTCTCTTTGCATAAGTTCATGAGCAGTGCACGCGTTTTAAGGATTTATTATAAGCCTTTTAAATTTGGGATTTTGAAAAAGAAATCTGAGAAAAGAAAACTACTGCTTTGAACGCGTTATCGTGAATATTTTCACGAGGTAAAGTTTTAAGCCTCTATTTCTTCGTTATGAGGTCACTCATGAGACACTTCTTAGCCGACAACTTAGAGTATTCAGTTTTATCGTGCATAGAACCATGTACGCCTGACGACCGACTAATACTGGGGAAGATTATTAGGTTCTCAGAAGCCACTATATAGCCAAACAAACACTTGAGATACTCAACAACGAATCAAACTGATATTTGAAATAATAGCAATTTGGCCTTTATCTTCTCTTTCATTTATAATCGTATCTTTTACTGACAGTATAAATGGATAACTTGTGCGGCCACGCCTGATGCAGAACTTTGACCGAGATCTTCTTATCGTAGGAACTTTGGCCGTTCTGAATGACAATTTAGATCATAGTTCGTTTTAGAAACCTCAGTTCAAGTCCGTGCAGGGAGACGTAAAAGCAGCAGGCCAGTATATAAGTACATATTGTAAATACTGTGTTATTTTCAAAGTCGGGTATTAACTCGATATTTTGATGAGGACATTTGGTGTCGCCGGTCAAAGGCTTAGATTGTCACTCTGTGGTTAATCCAAAACAAGTGATTCACGAAACACACTTTTTTGACAAAGTGAGTAAGCGTTTCATATAAAATAACAGGACTAAAGGTATTGTTACTGCTAATGGCTTCAGCAATTAATGCTCGATCGAGTTGATCATCGAGTCCAAACTTGAAAGACGCTGTCTTTCAATTCACGACGGTCCAGAGTAAAATCGGGCCCGATAATAAGCTTGTATGCCAGAAGCTTGAAAAAATGGAAAGGGTGCTTTCTCCCGCGCCGGTTGAATCTATAATCAAGCGGAATGAACGTTTACCAAAACCTGTTTTGTTATTTTTTGGGTCGTGATTTCCTCATTGCTCGCTATTCATTTGAAAAAACCGAGACCCCTTCTGGGTGGCACTTCTTACTGTCTTCCCATACAAAGCGGGTTTAACCGAAAACTGCGCATCACATGAATTGTAAGAGTGACCTTTTAAGTAAGATATTGATCAAAACTTCTCACGATCGTTTTCACAAGGAAAAAGGACGGTAATCAGCTTAAATGAAATCCTTATAAACCTAGACTGAAAAATGAAAAACGATTGGCTCTTCAAATTTTCCGCACAAGTATTTCCTCCACGGAACATTGAGAATAACGACAGCAAGCAGGCAGAATTTGATACATTCAAAGAGGAAAATTCGGCTGAGAAGAAGGAATTCAATATTCGCAACGAAATACATGTTTCATCATAAACCTCGTTTATTTTATTCTATTTTTTTTTTACTTAATTTGCTACAACGTTAACACAACAAGAAAGAAAAAGTCTCGTATGTTTTGTGTAATTGGCTTCCTTGACCGAAAACAAACTTTCGTTACGTTGCGTGCTATGCAGAATTAGTTAAAAACACACCGTCGATGAATTTGATTAACAAGTCACTTAACATTGATACTGACCTCACAATTTGAGTTCTCCTATTAACCCCAGGTTAGGTTTCTCTTATACCTGGAAATATCTTCTTTTACTAATTTTCGGTAAAACAATATTGCTTTTATTTTGCCAACATAGTTATCTAATTATGTCTTAGTACGACTTTTATAAGTTTGCCTCGGTGCTTAATTGTAGCATAACTGCCTCTCCGATTGTAACCAAAATAACTCTGTCTTTTAAACAACATTTTAGTAAAAAAGCTGATTACACGGATGAAAACAACTAGTTAATTTGCTTCTACCTTGGTAGAAGTCACAGCCTTCAAGTCCGGATTCGGGTATGTCTGACTTCTATTATGTGCAGATACCAACGTCTAGCCTATTTTTTTCTCAGTTTCTTTTTCTTTCTTTCTTTCTTTCTTTTTCTTTTTTCCACGATTTATGAAGAAAACAATGGAGTATGAAAAGGTTTGCAAAATGAAAGAAGCTCTACCTGTTTTTTTTTTGTTTTTTTTTTTTCGAAATGTTGGATCCGTAGAAGTTTTTTCGCTGAATCGTTCTTTTTTTCTTGTGGCGCTGTTTTTCTTTTTTTTGGTTTTTAAAAGTCATGAAAGAGCAACACAGGGCAGTGCTTGTACCTATAATACCATTGCGCCTGACCCATTCACTGTCAGTAATGTTCGAAAAGCTTATGAGAAAGTAGTTTTAAAATGTAATCTGACATAACTAAGAACTAGAAAAACTAGTTAACAGGTTGAATGAATACTGGAATTCCAAGGAATACTCAGGCTAAGTACGTGCTTTTAAAGCGTGACTTGTCTTAAACACGCAACGGCATGAGAAGAGTCTCTCAAAAAAAACAATGCGGAGAATTTTTTTATTCCTTTGTTCCCTCGAATTCACGCACACTACGCTTAAACAAATCAAAACTTATTGTATTTTGATATTTCCTTAAATAAAGCTCATATCAGTATATTTCATCAATAATAAACACGTTTCAGCGCGATTGCGCTAAATCTCGACAGCACAGAACAATTATATATTTCGATGACGGAAATGCAGGTAAAAATTGTTATTTTTGTATGTTTTGATTAGAAAAGTCCTATTTTAAAATCGTTGAAACTATTTTAAAATCAAGTGTTGCTGGAACTGAGAATGTTAAATAAAATGGCTTACCATCATAATTCAGTTTATTGCCTTCGTCCTCGCAGCATAACTGATCGCGTTCAATCTTTTCCGCGTATAACGGTAAGACATCTTCATTTTGTCCACTTACACGATGAAGTCTCCCTCCCACTCGGCTCATATGAGGTAAATATTTCATGAACACAGGACTGTACCGAACTGCGTAGTACCTATAAACAGGAGCGCTTGGCCATCGTTCAAAACTTGGCAGATCTACTGCGTTTGCCCTTCGTGGATGCGGAAAATCGTCCCTTAAAATATTTTCAATGGAAAAAGGCAGGCTAGCTTTCTGTCGTGGATGATCCATGTCGAGTGAGTTCAGCATCAGTGACCTTACAAGATGCAAGTTCCATCGAAAGCGAAAGTCGAGTGTTTAAATACACAATTTCCGTGGTCACGTGTAATTAGACGCCCTCCGACACTTGTCAGGGCGCGCTTGAGAGCACTGTTGAAGCATTAGTCTATTTTTAGAACACCAGCGTATTGTTCACTCCCATTTTTACTGAACTACGTACAAATCCTATAAAAGGTAAGCTTTTTCAACCCGCAACTAAGACCTACTCCAGAGCTGCTCCTAACGTATCTCGTGTTTCTAAATTATAGGAGTCTCGTAATAAACTCGTGACACTCATTGTTTCCAGTCCTGTTTTCCTGATTCACGTTAAACTGAAAACCATAAAAATGAAACCGAAATTGACGACCGCCGATTTTTATTCACATTTTCCTTTCCAGAGATGTCACGTTTTAAACTGATATGAAGAAAGAAATGATATACTTTGAACAGGAATTAGTCAGATGGTTTTAAGGTTTAACTTTTGTTCAGCGATTAACCGCCAAATATCGTGTTATGGTCATTGAATTGGCAACGTAACATACTTTTGATGGAAGACCGTATTGTTTCAGATTAAGTGTTTAAGTATCTGGGTTATCAGATTTATCACCCAATTAGGCGGTCAGATAAGAGTTTATTTGGATAACAAAAGTTAACTCCTGTGTCACGAGACAGGTGATGTGCAAAATATGGGAAAATACAGTGAGTTAAAAAGTTCGACTTTGTTTTAACTGTTATAACCAACTGGCAACTGTCAGTCGTAAAAATTCACAAAAGACACTTCTTATAGACTGCCAATCTAATCTATCAAGAGTTTTAAGTACACATCATGGTCAGCAATTAAGTGTTTTCCGTTGGTTTTGCTGATTTTAAGAATGCGGCACACGTATTTCCTGTATCCATTAGCATCAGCAATGCAAATACGCAGCCCAAAAATAAAGCTTCTGTAATCATCTTAAGGAAGCGCGTGACAAACAGTACTTTCAATTAAAAAGTTGTTGTTTGTTACTGCTGCATGATTCAGCTGAAATTAAAGCAATATTGTTTTAGTTCTGCTTTAGCTGTCGGCTGATTAAATAATGCACTGATACTGGGTTTTTTATTAAAAGTACAGAAAAGGAGAGGGCTCGTGAACAGCATGGTCTAAGAAATGGTTTTGAGGCATGAAAAATACTCGTAAAAAAAAAAAATAAAATAATGATAATTAAAATAATAGACTCTTGTGACTACTAACTTAGCGCCTAAATGTTTCGGGAAAACCTCAAAAGCTTTATTATTTTTATTTGTGGATATCATGTGCTGTATTTCATATGATAAACTGTAAAGGGAATTACTTTTCTAAACAGTTTTTTACAGAAGTATTTCTGGTTGTACTATTTTGAAGATATTAATTTACAACACTCTTCAAAGATTATACTCAACGGTTTACAAATCTGTTCAGTTTTTGTATATTTGTAATGATATATTTTTAGTACTTTCATTTGAACCTCGGGTTTTATTTATTTTAAAAGCAGTGAAACCCTCCCTTCAACTGTAAACACAACAAACAACAATCATTTTTGCACTAAAAGGTCAAACCAACAGACCCCACTGATCAATTAAAATAATTTCCCCCTTCGCCGTGTGTCATACTTATATACAATCCTATCTCTGACTTTGCAAATTTTATAATTACTTAGATAAGTTATGGAAAACGGCATCGAGCCAATCTGAGGTGGGTTGGAATAATTTCATTTACAGATTTTCTCTTTGCCACCTGGGGACAGACAATTGGGGTTTTGTGCTAATCCAGTTAGGCATTTCCTTGTGAAAATGTTGCGACTTGCCAAATATTACAAAGCTTAGCTGGCTGCCGGGCTGTACACTTGCACGACGGACTGGTTGACCTTTTCCCGGTGAGTCTATGGATAAAATCCTTCAGTAATGAATCGCACTACACGTTATTTAGCTGGACTCTGAGAGGGTTTATCCAAAATTGAGTTTGCTCAGGGGGTTGCTTATTTAACTGCTGAAATTTCGAACAGAGGCCAGTCCGGGATAAAGGCTTGACGTCCTACGTTAAAGCTAACATTCTCTAATCAAACATCGGCAACGATAAGCCCACCCCAGTCAACCTTTTTACCTAAACGCCCGCCCAGACGTTTGCAATTACTTCTGACTTTTTAAAAGGTTTTATGGCTTTGACCTCTGATCAACATTGCTTTTCTAACGAGCTGGTCTCACGGCTCCTCTAACACAGACCAATCTGAATCTTCTCCTGAGAGAAAACTATAAAATCTGTTCTGTTCTTTTTGTAACGGGCTTTTCATCTTATTAATGACCTGAAGAGTGCTGACAGATTCTCTGAAGGAGTGAAAATAAAGTTTGATTTCCTCCAGAACACACCTCCATTATATTACAGACGTTAAGATGAGTTTGCATTAAATAAGGAAGGAAATGACATGCGAGATTGACTTACTTAAAACGTCTCCAAAAAGCCGGCTCTTATGCATTAATTTGGACATGAAATCTTGAGGTGTGGGCGGCTTTTATTCAGCTCACAATAACAACAAAAGGGGAGTTGTCTTCAAATACCTTTGAAGAAAGCTATGAGCTAACATCTCTCATTTAATCCAATTATTAAAGTAACTATTTTGTTTTTCTTTAACTCGACTGCTACCCCAACGCAAGAAACCTGAAATTGAAATTTCCTGTGAACTTTTTATTGTGCTGTTCTAGGGAGGGTTTAATGAAGTAGTAGACATGGCACCTCAAACACGACTGTTCAGAAATTCGCTGAGAGCACTATTTGTTTGAACAAGGTAGTTCAGTAAGGTTACACGCCCAACGACCCTTAGTGGCTGAGAGGAAATCTTGAAGTGCGACGGCCATTCATTGAGAGATATTTGAAACAAAACCATGTTCGAGGTGGTTTTGAATTTGTAGATAACATACAGAGTTTTAAGGTGTAACCTCCGAACGAAAAAGCCCTGTCACTGGGAAGCCGTCTGGTGTCTGGTCGGCTTTGTGTACATATTATGCTCTCAGCAGAGGTGGTTCAGTTTAATAAGCTTCGAGTCAATGGCATTAAATCCCATATTTTAATCTTAGCACTCCGCCTACATTGCAGCAGGTAGGCGGGCGTAGGTTTTTGTTATTACTCGACGGTTAATGATTTCATATGATCTTATGTTTAGGGTTTGTTCATTTACGCTTGGCGTGTGGGAAGCAATTACGTCAGCGGCTCACTGAGACAAAGAAATGAGGTTGAGAGAGTTTAAGGAGGGTCAACGGAAACTTGTTTAAAGGAAACTATGTTGATTCAAAAGGCCTCGATAAAACTATTTAAGGCAACACTTTTGCATCCCAAGTGCTCTACAAAATAAAGTTACTCCAATTAGCTCAAAGGTTGAAAAAACAACAAAGTACAAAAGAAGCCGTAAGGCTGAACGTGAAATGAATTTAATTTTACGGGTCGGTGGAAAATGGCACGCACAGATAAGCAAAATATCAGAGTAATCGGTCGCACATTGAGGATCCTACAAAAATTATTTTCCTAAGGATTGATGTCCCTAGTGCTTAAAGTTGGAATTTATGGCGGATTTTCCGGAAAAACTAAAGAAGTTTAGATAATGAAAGCTGCTTCAATTCCGTGGAGGCAGGAACAAATATTTTCCTAACTAAAAATAATAATAAATACTCAGTTCAAGAAAATTGTTATCTAACAATTGTTAATGTTTATAATCAGTACAAAGTCGCTTAACACCCAATGGTCGGATTTGCAGAGTATATATATTAATCTTGGCCTGCGAAACAGTCAGGGTCCCTCAGGAAGAGTTCGTATACTTACCAGTCTTGCTGCATGCGTATCAGTTAATAAACAGGCTGATGATAGATGCAGCCTTTCCATAAAGTGGCGACACCGGGTTACACTGTTTCACTAGATCGTTAAAAGCAACACCCGGTAACATATGGGTAATTTTTCACCACGGCTTTCCTAAGAGACTAAACTTATTTATGTCCAAAAAAAGACACTTTTGTTCCGCCCGTGCTACGGAAATTATAAGACGCCTGACGTCATTTTGCATTAAATAAATTTTTAGTTTTGATCTTATTGACTGTGAACAGTGACTAAGACCTTCTGAAAAAAAAAGAACAGTTTACGGATGGAACGATTCTTCGACTTGTAAGTTTTGCTGGACAAGATTGTTCCAACTTTTGAGTCTGTGAATGAATTTTCGAATTTCTGTTGTGTGACCATTGTAAGCAGTACTTTCCTTGGTTGATTGTGCTGTACCAAAGTGGTTCTAACTTTTCAGGTTGCGGTTAAAATCTCAAAGTGCGGCTATTCACGTATGAACACTAATGAGTAGACATTACAGTTCATCTTTATATTCTGTCCAAGATGGCGCTATCTTTTTAGTCCGTGGTTAAAATACACTCAGTGAAAGTATTGACAAGCTACTTTAACCTATGTTCCTATCCACAACCTCTTCAGGGATCCCATAAATAAGAATAAAAATGTTAATTCCCTGAAACTCTTAAGGCGTAAAAATTGTGGTTTTATGACTGTGAACAATACCCTAGTTTAACCTGTTTTTTAAAATATTATTATCCAGAATATAACCAGTGGGTTTTTAGTTAATTTTCTAAAATAGTTTAAACTGATTCGCTTAGAAAAGCCCTTCGGTGAAAGATCAAAGTGACTTAAAAAACGGTACGTGTTTGTATTTTTCCAAGAGTAAGGGTGACTCGGCTCTGCGAGAGAGCTATTTGAAGAGTTGTTTTGTACCGCCTTCTTAAAAACAAGAGGTCTCTTTTATTATTCTTTTGAATGACGGTTATGGAATATGGGTTGACCGGCAGACAAACACTGGTCTTTTTGTTCAGCTCCATACAAGCTGCAGTCTAAGATTTAAGGGTGTGCCGGGTCTTGAAAAGAAAAACCGGCGACGCCAATCTTCCCGTTTCGGGTGCATACGGAAAGCTGATTAAATTTTAATACTGCCAAATAAAAAGTACCATCAACGTAGCGAGAAATGAAATATTGAAGGAAAGGTTTCCATATGTACTAGCATTGCTTTTTCAAACGCTGCACATTCGGTTAAAATCTGGTTTAAACTGGTCGTGCGAAAACGAGCGCTCTAACGGGGTTGAAGTTGAACCCTGTAAGCTTGAACTGTATGCTATTATTAGACACCATATTAAGCATGCCTTTTCCTCCTTTATTATATCAAGTAGAACTCAGCACTTTCCCACGGTAAATTAATTGTTTCACCAGAGGGAAATATAATTTTCCTTTTATAACGCGTTGTTTGTCTTCAGTTTTTTTTTTTTGGATAACGCATGCCACGTACACGTGATATTATTATCAAGATTTTGACTGAGACACTTTAAAATCGTTATCTTATTAATTATACAACAAAGTATTGACACGGTTCTGGTTGTGTTCTGAGGTCAAAGTTTATTTCTTAGCATGCGCACATACTATATCTGCTTTTTTGATGCAGACGTTTCTAAGGCCTAATACTAATAAGAGTTAATGAAATTACAACAAGTGAGGAAAACAGCGCTCGGTTAATTAATCAAATCATCCTCAACTAAATGAATAATATAATAAATAAATAACTATTTAGAGGTAGCAGATTCACATTGCGGTTCTTCGTGTACTTCGTCTACCTGATTCCTGGTCAAATTGGAATTTGGAAATGTTGGTTTTTGAGGAGAGGGGAAAACCAGAGTACCCGGAGACTTTACGATACAAACTGAAACAAGACAAAAAAAATCAATTGTGGGTCTTCTTCGGAAGTCTCAGCCTGAGACAGCGGCCGGCGGGTGGCTGCGCCACAGATAAAACAAAAATCCGGCCCAGGCTACAGCTGTAGAGGAAGAGCTGGGAGAGTTCCAGGGAAATAGGAAAACGAAACAATTCCTGTGCTTTTTGTGTAAGAATAAAAACTCTTATGAGACAGAATGTTTCAGCGATGAGTTGCGCTGTCCCATCTCGGCAATTTTTACACTAACAACGCCTGTCTCATAATGTGAGCTTATTTTATAAAGATGAAACCCTCAATGCAAGTTCATCGTGCACGTGCTGATCACGTGCTGCTCGTATGTTGGTTACTTTCCGCTAATCGTGGAATTATTCTAGAGACGAACAGTAGAACGCTGACTGACTCGCTGAGCCTCGCAATGAAGATTCCACAGGCAACGACCTTAGTGTCTGAAAACATTTAACCCTTGTCTTACCACTTCTTGGTTTATCTAACTTTTACGATGTTGTCCACTGTCGATTAACCAGTTTATATTTCTCGTTAATATCCGTCCTTCAGTAAAGTTCAAAATATAACTCGGTTTCTTTTCGACTTTTGACACTGAGGGGAAAACACTTTTGCGCTACTTTGATCTGCGCGGTATTGCTAATATATATGAGTTTTTGTCTTGTTTTCTAAAGCCCTGGCCAGCTATGTTTCTGTGTCAAGTTTGACATCGTTGATTAAAGGTTGTTTGTTTCAGAACTATTCACAGTTTCAAAAAGATGATGTTATTGTATAATTCTAGCCAATACAATTCTACAGTCTCAATGTATTCTTCCGATACAAGTTTAAGAACGAGCAAAGTGCACTGATATAGAAGTCTGCTAATCATAAACACTATCCTTATTGATCATCCACCAGTCTATAACTAGGGTCTGAAAAACGGGGGCCAGAGAGAGAGAGCAATCCCATTACTTGGACTAAATTTTCTCCAAATCGCATTTCCGGAGTCGAAATTCCAAATTAAGGAAAACACCGAGCCGCAACTGTTGACAATTGGAGTGGGGTTTTAAGTTTCATAGAAATTCAGTTTTGTGGCAAAACTAGACTTAGTGGATCGAACTATGGCGACACAGTTAGAGAAACCATAAAAACAAGATCGATGGAAACAACCTCAGCACAGCCCGACTCGAGCCCAGGCATCCAGATGGCAAATTCAGTGATCTACAAAGCTGGCTATGGTGTCTCTTTTTGGCACATGAGATTGGTCAACTGTCTAAACTCTGTGAACACGGTACTTTGTTTGGTTGTTCTGCAAACATTCGATACAAATGCATACTGCATGGGTATTCCTCGAAGTGAATAAAGAAAACGTTTTTGTTGTTCTGAGGCCAAGTTCTTCCTCTCTTTTCTCCTCCCATCATTCCCCGCGTGCTGCCTTTTTTCCTTCTAGATCTCCCCAGTCTTCCTACGACGCAAAAAAGGCCTCTATGGTGGAGAGAGGGCTGGAATATCAAGGAATATCAAACGTGCTTTAATTCATTCTCATAAATTAGCAATAAAACGATTACTCCTTTTTCGTCAAAACTAAAACGTTATTACGACTTGTAACATGCTAAGATGCTATGGGGATAAAACCTTCGCCTTTACTTGTCAAGGAAAAGATCTCGTAAAAAAGAAAGCCGAAAATAGAGAGCTTTAGATATTAAGAGGACAAGGAAGACTTCAAGTACGAGATTTGACTTAAAGTTTTTTCGCGTGTTCTCAAAAATCATAAATCCCGGAAAGCTTCATTGTACCTTTTTTTTTTCACCCAAAAAGTTAGCACTCCTATCTATAGTGAAGGAGGTTACGACCCTCTCCCGTTCAAAAAATGATTCTAACATTTTATAACTTGTTTCCGCCACTACGACATTCTCGCTAAAATTCGTAGTAGAGTGACGACGGCTACTACATTTTCCCGCCAAAATGACTTTGGTTCGTGCGCGCGCACTACTTAGTATTGAGAAAATCGCGTTCTCGTTGTCGTCCTCGTCTTAGAATCTAAAGCTTTTTACTTGGCCCCAGCTTAGGAGAGCTCCCTAACTTTCTCTTCGAGTATTCGGGAGGTACTGGGTTTCTCGTAAAACCTCTGAGAGCACTCATTATCTCTAACAGACAGAGTGTAACAACCAAATTTAACCAAGACACACTTTCAGACTTGTAATCATATTGTCCTTTTATTGTTATCGTGACCTCAGTTTAGACATCTTCTGATTCTTTTGTTCCTGACTGATAAATTAAAGCTTGTACAGTGGAATCTTCTCTTTTCCATTATGCCCTTAGTTACCCGAGTTCTGCAAAATATGAAAGAAAATAAAAACTTTACCAAGTGGTTTTAATATAGCCGGCTCAAAGTATTTTCAGTCGTGTACTGACCAGTGCTCACCACCTGCTTCTTCTTGAGTGCGTAAGTCCGGCTGTGCAGCAAAGCACTTACGAAGATTACTTTGACTGGCACTGACTACAATAATAAAACCTAATCAACGTAAAATTTTAATTCAAAGGACCAATGCCGTACCACTCATAAGATTTCTTCTTACGGCTTGGTTCTTTTTTTCAAATTTGATATCAATGATTGCCGAATTTCTAATTTTTGTGGTTTATTCATTGTATAATTTCTCTAGTACCCAGATCACCCTGGTGTCTGTTTGTAGATTTGGAAATGACCGTGAAAGAACTGGGTTACAAAGTTGAGTTTGTCAGCAAAATTGCTTAATCGTTAAAATGCTCCAACGTATAACAAATAAAAAAAACATCTTCGAAGCTGAGTCATATTTTCGTAGCTGGTTCACAATTTCTTAACAAATACGACTTACTTCGCTTTCGTGGCTTCCCCGCAAATCATTGCGAATTTAGAATTAAAAGAAAAAAAAATAAAAATCTCTAGCACCCAATTTACGCAGTGCAAATTTGGTGCAAGAAAAGTGCAAACTACAGTTAAATAAAGAGCAAAGCTAGTAAATAGCGCATTTGCCCTCAACTTTACAACCCTATGTAAACTGGCATGCAAAATGCGGTATTTACCACCTTTGCTTTTGATTTCCATCGAGTTTTCACTTCAAGTTTTGGACCATATTTTTGCATCCAGTAAATTTGTGTAAATCCAGTTTTTACGTGCAGTGCGTTCTAATACAAAAACCTTCCACGCATGCGCAGGCTACAGAGCCCTTTCCTCTAAGAAACGGCACTAAAAACGTCAATAACCTACTTCTCACAGCACAAAAAGGTGAATAATTTTTAATCGCGTGTTTACCATTTTTCAGCCTTGAATCCGCTCATTGATCCAGTCTATATAAGAGCTCACACGGGCATACACAGAGTACTTTCTCTTGCGGCAAAGAAAACTGCTGACCCACGAGGCCGAGCCGCGAAGGATCCAACGCCCATTTTCTAGGCAAGATAGGGGGCCGCCGCTGTCCCCATGGCACGGGCTACTTCCCTTGCCTCCTACACAAACCATAGCGTCATCATCCACTCGCTGGCCAAGCTGTCTCTTGCAGTCGTTGAATGTGGCCGGAGGAGCCTTGGTTTGCTTCAAACGCGCGGCAGTTATGGAAGCTATGATTGGTCTGGTTCTACCCCAACCTTGTAAGCGAACGGAAATGGTATAAGGTTTGTTGTTTACAATTATGACTTTAAAAAATGAAAATATAATTTTATAGACATGTTAAATTCTGCAAGCAGAATACTGCAATGCTGATCGTACTACGTGAAAATTAACTCTGCAAGACATCAACACGACGTAGTACGATCAGCATACGTCATAAGACGAACGTCTTAAATTATACAGATGTAATAATAAAAACGACTAGTCCAGAAATATCTAGGATGCAAGAAGCCGTATAAGCAAACGCCAGGAAACGTCAGGAAAGTGGTTAATGTTTGTACATAATTTTATAATAAATGCGAATTCAAAGCCAAGGAAAATATCGTTTTATGAAGTTACAGAGAGCCTTTTCACATGACGCTAACGGCGGCCATATTTGTGTTCCAAATACAATTATACGGCGACCATATTGCTGTCCCAAACCAATCCTGTGGGAGTTAAATTTCTTTTCTACGTAAAAACGTTTTTTTCGCTCCATATATTTGCACGGATGCTGTACACGTCAGTAAAAGTAAATTAATCGTGATTCATGTCTTTGCGTTCTCTACAATAAAAACCTTTAATTTGTATTTTGGAAGGTTGTTTTGCAAAGATCAGTCAAGAAATGTACTAAATTCAAAAAGCACGTGCGAACGTCCAAGGCATTGTTTTGCCTCTCGGTGACATTATAGTTAAGACGTTCTCCACGCCTTCGATATCCTTGTTGGCAAATTAAAACTTTGTTTTCTCGCAAGTATATGCGCCTCATTTTCTCATCGAGCTCAGTGATGTTACTTCTGAGTAAATAAAGAAAAAAGGATGATAACATTTCGGTGAGAATCTCAGTTTTATATTACAGATATCCTTTTGTGCGATGAGAGTAAAAAAACTCGATGCTTTGCAAAAAGTTTACATAGTGGCTTATTCACAACTGTTGTCGCTCAATTTTTTTGTTTTGTTTTCATTGGCTGATATTTACTCTGCTAATGTTACAGACTAATAAGTTTAACGAGCTCTTTTAACCCTTGACGTCAATTCTGATACGCACGATTCGTGGTTTCTCAAAGTAAGAGGTCAAACGAGAAAATGAAGGGAGAGGAGGGTAGAGAACTGAACTGAAAGGCTCACTGACTTTTACCACTTGCCCCCTCCCCCACTGTTTTCTCGTTTGACCTGTGTTTGGCTTTTGCTCGGCCTTGCCTCTTACGGTACAAACCACAAAGGAAAAACACGCCGCCAAAAACGGCCTGCTCTGTAGGCTATAGTGATCTGGCGGAAGGCAAACAATCAGACGTCACTAGGGAGCTTAAGCAACAACGACGGCGACGGCTTACAAAAACGTCACTTAAAAAGTGAATTCGCACCGCTTCAAACTTTATCGCGCTTATTCCATCTCGTTTACTTCGTCAAATGTTGGCAAATGTTTTTGGAGTTGAATTCTAAAGGACTGTATCAAAGTTCAGGAAAAGAAAAGAAAGTTGTTGTCTTGCGTTCCCGTCCTCGACAAAACGTGAATTCAGGCATTTTCACGTTGTAGTCGGGCAACGACGGCAAAGAAATGTACAAAAAAAGCGTGATGCACGTGCAAAGTTGTTGTTTTGCTAATCAAACCTTTTGCTTTTTTGCCGTTCTCGTTGCCGTCCGCGTCGTCGTTGCTTAAGCTTCCTAATAACAAGTCTCCCATACGTCATCCAGTACTTACCCGTTACATAACACTCTGCTCCAATCTTGACACGTGACCCTTGAGAAGGAAGGCAAATAGTGCTGATCTTTTTACCAAGTTTTGCCGGCCGCGAGAGCTTCACGACTGCTACGTCATGCTTCATCCCGGTCCAAGAGTTATAATCTTCATGCATTTCCACTTTAGAAACATCGTAAACTTCCCCATCGTTTTTCTTATCGTGAGCTCCTAAAAATATGTCATTACGAAAAAGATACACTTTAGTAAAAAAATGACTTCTCACTCTAGTAAAAAAAAAATAATTTTATTCGTTATGGAACAAGAAATACTGTAAAATTCCGAAAATAAGCCCCGGGGCTTATATTTTTCAAAGCCCTTTTTGAGGGGCTTATTTTTGGAGGGGCTTATATTCGGTGGGGTTTATCGATGGAGGGAAATTTGCGTTTCAAAATCGATGGGGCTAGCCTTATAGTTGGAAGGAAATTTACGCTTGAGGGCAATTTCCAAGTACAAGCCCCCGGGGGGCTTATAATTGGAGGGGCGATTTAACGGAGGTTTTTTTGCGTTACGAGTTTTGGGGGGTTTATATTTGGAGGGGCTTATACTTGGAGGGGCTTATTTTCGGAATTTTACGGTATTTCTTCTAAACGAATCCGCCCATCCCTAGCTGTTTAACAGACGTTTCTCTTCGCGCATTAGGTGGCAAGAGCAGCCTTATGTTATAGAATCAAGATTCTAGAGCCGGGGATTTTTTTTGTTTGTGAAATGTGGAATCGGAGAAAATTTGCTTGTGGAATCCGGGATCCTGGGCTTTGGAATCCGGAATTACATCTCAAGGAATCTGGAATCCAAGTTTTACTGACAAAGAGTCCGAAATCCAGTAGCTGGAATCCAGGATCCATGGCGCGGAATCCAGAATCCAAGGCTGTCTTGAATTTCCCTGAACAATATACAAGAAACGGTGACGAGAGTCGACAACACCTAGTCACCATGCTGGGTTCGGCCATATTTTCACATGGTCAACAAATCATACTGAACTGATTTAGTCAGTTAGATCCCGCGCGTTCATTTAGCTTAATTTATTTTTCAGTTTTAATATTTAGCTTTAGGCCAGGACTATCGGTACTTTCGACAAACAAGCCCTGGAACCTCCCAAAAACGGAAAGACTGTCTAAATTAAGGCTTACCCAAAACAATTTGGTACTTTCCAGCATTGAGATCAGCGGACACACAATGAGCTGCAGTGACGAGCCACTCCGGAGTAACAAGAGATGCACCGCAAATATGTTCCCCATCGTAACGAAGAGAGGCCTGCCAGGGCCATGAATGCGGTGTGGCTTCTTCGCCCCCACGGATACGGGTCCCAGAGGGACGTACTCCACAGCCTGTCAGGAGGTATACGCAAATATAATTCGCTCACTAGCTAGTTCTACGTTTCTAGCTTATCATTTAAAATGGGTGTTTTGAACTGCAAATCAATTGACAGAATTTTACGGCCTATATATCTACCTGGATTTCTAAAAACTTTAGTGTGTTAAAATCTATCTAAAATCTTTTCTAAAATCTTTTTTTTTTCAAAAACCACCCTCAGAGCAGGCAATTAAAAAAAACTTAGAAGTGAAGCCATTTTTTCAGTTTTTTTCCACCTTATTTCTTTTTTTGTCAAATTCTCGATGATTTTTAATTTTCCTTTCTTTAATGTTTTTTGTTTTATTTTGTTTTGTTTCCGCTCTCAGACTATTCATTTTTTACTTTGAACTCTGTATTGTGATTTTGTGCGTATTGGACACCCCCAAAAAATCGCGTTTTGGCCCAATAATTCTGGTCAAATTACTGCATGAACTTTCTGTGGTTACGTTTTCAAAAAGCTTCGTAGATATGCTTTACCTCATTTACCGCAAGTAAGAATTTAAAAAATCACAGAGAGAGAGAGAGAGAGAGAGAGAGAGAGAGTCTTCCTTTGGCTTTTTCCAAATTTTTAAAAGCACCTCAAAAGGATTTACCCATGAGATTTTGAATGGATCATTTCTAATTGCATGAACAAAAGTCAAAGAATTTTTTTCACCGCAGAAAATTCCGACCTTCGTAGGAAAGTCTTTAGAGTATTACCTTCAGATGTTGACATGACAAAGGCAAGCGTGACAAAAGTGAAGAAGACGAGCATTTTCTGTAAATTTGGAATGATCAGCCAGCACTCTGATAACAGTCTTGGGATAATCACTAGTTGTGGACTTTTTCTCCGACCCTAGCGCGCCCAATATATAAAAATGGTTTTTAATTGCATCTCCAACTTGATAAAAGTCGCATTTCCCATGTACAAACGGCATTGTACAGCTCTGTAAATAATATCTGGACGACAAAATGAAATGAGTGGTACCTTTAACGGTGTTTTACAATATAAAAGTTGAAAAATCTGGCTGAAGTGAGTGGCAGCGTATAAAGCAAGTTTCAAGAAAATTAGCCAACGTCTCAAATGTTTAGGACTGAGATAATTCAGTATTATGCCGTTGTTGTTGGTCGAGTAAAATACTTAAAATAATCGTTTTTGTCTTAATTAAAAAAGCCTTCTTGAGGTCTGTTATACTATGTGACACTTGAGTGACAACATATATGAGTTAATTCAACTCCAGGAAAGTCAGCTTAAAATTCCGACCCTGACCAAAGTAAAACGTAAACATTTTATGCTTTTTTTACGTGTTGAGTCCAGTGAATTGGCAAATGCTGTACAAGGTGGCTCTACCGCTTGAGTCTATGGATGAATTCCAGTAGTGTGTGATCTATCAAATGAAAGTTACTGAGCAGTACTTTTCAGTGGTACTGTATATTTTGCTGTAGAAGGTGATTCCCAGTTTTGATTCTGTGGATGAAATCTAATTCACACTGGTAAGTTTACTTTCGATGCCTCGTCATGAAAGGACGGCACGGCAATTAAAACGACATGTTCCACTAAAAGTCAAAACAAAGTCGCCTACTGTAGGACTTCATGCTGGTGAGTTTACTCGTGTAATATCGGGTGGTACTGTTTACTCTGCTGTACCAGGTGATTTTGACTTGAATCAAGCAAAGCCTATTCACCTGTTTGAGGTGTTTGCATTTCTTATTTTAAAAAAATATATCTAATAATTTAATAAATGACCTACCAAAAGTAGGAATCTAGTTTTCGCTGGATCGAAAGCGACCGAGTCATAAGCAACTGTTGCAACTCCGATATGGTCGAGCTTATAATTCAGTTTGTCACGCACGCGCAGGGGCGTGGTCAGATTTCTTTCTACAGCGCCGGCTTTCCTTGTTCAGTACAAAAACCAACTGGAAGAAATACATACAGTTCCATAGGCGCTATCCTCTACTCATGAGTCTTTGGGATTGCTCCCCGGGAAAATTTTATGTTAGGTCTTTAGAAATTGCGTTTAATTTTCCGTGAACAACAATCTTAGCTCAAAACGCAGCTTGTATTTCTAAGAGGTCGGATGATATAGAAATGATATGGAAATGCCAGATGAATTTGAGTCGGCGAAGATGATGAACTCCCCTTCCCACTCCCCAGTACCATGGTCCACTCCCCCGATACCATGGTTCAAGCAATTGCCCTTGTACTCACCACTAACAGGTGACAGAAATATCAAAATGCACGGCCAAGGTTTCTTTTGTCATAAAAAGACATGAATCAGTAAAATCTGGATCATTTATCTTTGTACAAAATGATCAACTCTGTAACCCCTTTCACTGCATATTAGGGCGCAAATAGCCAATCACAGTCGCGCTTCAACTGACGTCAGTTTCATTACTTTCACGGCATAACTTTGATCGTGTGTTCTGAACTCGAACTCAACAGTTCTGTACGACAAGAAGTTGAAATATTAAAAGCGTCTCCAAATGTGGAATTCCGTGACTGTGTTCATCTACTGAAGAAGGTGAGTAAGTAATTAAAAGGTTTCTTAGCCTGTTTCGATCGGCTCTACGAAACATACACATGCAGAAAAAAAATTTTTCCACGCAGCTTCTGCACAGCTAACTCCACACGTCTACTGTCTGACAGAGCACAGAGATATCAATACTTGATCAATTAGGTGAAAATAGGTGAAAATTTATCTCTTGCCTTCTTAAACACTTTTAAGGTAGTAGAATTTCTCTCATGGCTTGTTACTGATACGAAATATGAAAACGCTGCTAAACCGACGAACGGCGACTTGCTACAGCAAACCATTAATTAGGTCAATAATAACCTGTAAGTTTTCTTATATAAAACAAAGTTTATTGTTTTCAGCCACGCAGGCATGACAGAAAATAGGCCTAGCGATACCTTCTGTCCGTCTTAAATTTGTCATTTGCAACGTAAATGAGCATGCATTTTAAAACAGATCAGATTGTTAGACTTTTCGTTTCGTTGTGTTTAAAAACTGTGATCATATAAATCTAAGCAGCGGTTACCAGGTGTCAAATTTTGAGCTACCAAGCAGACATACAGTTTGATTAATCAGGTTCAATGAAAATCGTTCTTCCTGCAGTCTTCTAGCAGTTCAAGTAATGACCAAGTTATAGATTTCTACCATTAAAACAGATTTTTTTTTTCACTCTATGCGAGAAACGTTAGAAAATCTCGCGTAGTTTCAATCGCCAGCAATTAGAACGTTGTAAAAAAAATCGGTTGATGCAGCGCTCTGTCGTCAAAGTAAATGACGATTTCCACCCGTTTTCGACGTGAAAACATTTTTAGAAATTGAAATCCAAAATCGGATCTTCCATGCTAGTATTTTTCATTCAAAGTTATCCTCGCTCTATCCGTTGCGGTTCCTAGTGCTCCAGTGATCTCTCGGTTATTTCTTGATTTGGCACGCTGTCGCTTTGTGTAATTAAACAGCTCGTAGCAAAGTTGTTGGATATTATGTAATACTATTTTTGCATTATTCAAGCATAGTTAATTGATAGAAATTGGCGTGTGATTTTTATATTCAGTTTTTATTGTGATATTCATTGATATTTCACGGTTAAGTTTGATTGTTTGCTTTTCCAAGTTCACGAAAACTATTTAATTAAGCTTAAGCTTATTAGATCACCTCATAAAAGCGGATTGCGTCTCTACTTTTGGTCACTTGACTTTTTGTTCGCCTTGTCGCAAAACTTTAAAGAAAACTGTAAACTTTTAAAACAAGACCGAGCGCTGAACATTTATTCCTGATTTTAATAATCGGCAACTCAAGAATGTTCAAACTTAAAAATATAATAATTTCCGCCTTTGAAACATCGATTCGATTTTCCAAAAAGCTTCCAACTTTAATACAAAACAAACTTCGTTGAATGATAACTCTTACGTCTTAGTGATAAAGATAGTTCAAATCTTCTAATGAATCTGGAACATTTTGCTAACTTAAAATTTTCCTTTTCCTAAACTATCCTTATACTCTTGGAACCGTCCATTTTATATTTATTTTTCCTTGTATTTTTGTCCTGTTTTCAAGAAGTTAACTAAGAACACGTTCGATCTTGCGTCAGTTTTATATAGTCATTTTATTTCCCATTTTATAACTTTGCAAATTATGGAACTTATAAATCGAGGTGTACAAAAAGTGCCGTTGGATGGTTTGCACTTAAGAAAACTTTGCCATGGTCAAATAGGAATTGGTACGATTCAGCGCCTCGTATCAAATGTGATGTTTAAGGGTGAAGTCTGGTTAAAAGCAGTGTTAATTTCCTTCCCAAATCAACATCCACGTTTCCCCACTAAAAAACAACCTGAATGCTCCCTTTCTGGTTCAACTCCCGAGGCATAGCCTTATAGAGCCTTTTTTTGAGGTAAGTCCCCTCTTGGTTTTGCCCCCCTCCTCGAATTCTATTAAGGGAAAAACTTTTAAACCCGTTCGTGAGAGGTTCTAAGTTTTTCGTACCAACATACAAAATTACAGTTTTTTTCAAACGAGCTCTCCACACACCCTGTGTACTACATTTTACGGCCAAAATTACCTGAAGATACTGGGTTTTTTTTATCTTGCTGTTGGACGGTTGCATGCCTGTCAAGCTTGATTCTCACAGTCTTATCTATTTTATTAAGCTCAAATGAAAGAAGGAGAATTCTCCATTTTCACATAGACCATAATGCAATTTGTTTACCCCCCAAAATTTTTACACTATAACCATTGTTTCCAGTTTCTACTGGGTATTACAGTCGTCCCATGCCAGGAGACAAAGGTTTTTTCGGGGGGAGGGATGGGGGTATACAAGTTGCATTATGGTGTATGTGAAAATGTCAATACTATTCATAATAGTCAGGTTTTCATATAACTCTTATTGCAGAAATTCTTTTCAACAAAATGGCGGATCCTCTACAAAAAACGAATAACATTACTCCAGATGTGTTAGAGGCGGCACAAATTCTTGTCACGATGAGGCAAGGCATGAGGGGTTTCTTAGAAGCTCAGCAGGTTTGCTACCGGATGCCCTACGTCTATTACACTTCGCTCAATCCAACAATATCTCAGCTTCACTATTTCTCAGCGCACGGAATTCCTTTTTCGCCGCTATACGACATATCCCCTATTGCACCAGCGGCGTATCAGTTCTCGCCTTTGGCACAGGCCCAGCAAGAACTATATTATGGGATGCTGACTTCGGCGCAATGTATTGTGGGGCCACCAAGAAAACAAGATTCAACGGGTGTTGATTTTACTGTGGGGTTCGGGGAAAAAGAGTCTTTGCAACCAGGTCAGTAAAATTTGTCAAAGACACACAAAACGTTATTTAGGCGGTTGACTTGCTTTTTCTTTTTAATAATTGCCTTCTGGATACCCTGGGCGCTAGAGGGATTTTTTCTTTCCTAACTGAGAGAGAGCATCGCGTTTAGGCTAACGGCAAACGCGAGATTCAAGATAAGACATTTTCAAAATGAGACATGAGCAGATAAAAACAGCTTAAAACAATTCTTATGAATAGAATTGGTGGGAATCTACAGATTTTCGTGTAGTTATAATGAACAGTAAACGACAAGCGAATGGAAAACTTGGTCACGTGGCACAAATTCACGTTTGTCGTTTGCCGTAAACGCGATGCTTAATCTCCCTATTTCCTGATAATTCGCGGCGAGCTTTATCAAACTGTACGGTTATTTCAAACTATAGGGACTTCGAGAACGGACCTCTGGAGCCAGAGTATTCTGGACTTTGAAGCCCGAAAATATTTTTTTGCAAAATGAGTATAAAGAAAATCAAGCAAATCTTTTTCTTTACACCCAGTCCGTTTACCTGTTTGTTTGCGTAAAAAGTAATTTTATGTCTGATAATTGCTGATTTTCAGTTTCAAAGAAGCCCCGTTTACTAGAAACAGGCTCACCAGAACAAACCACGACAGAGAAACAAGAATCCAAACGGAAACGTAAAAACCTCACAAAAGAACAGTTGGAAATTCTCGAATCAGTTTACGAAAAGGACAAATATCCTCACATCGACGATAGGATAAAGTTAGAAAAACCGACAAATCTTACTGAGGATAGAATTCAAGTCTGGTTTCAAAACAGGAGAGCAAAGGACAGGAAAAAACTGGAGGCACAGAAATTACAACAGTATTATGTTGAGAGCAGAAGAAAAGTTTCAGAGGAATTCAGAGAGGATGTCGCTGATGGTACCAAGTTTGCGAATAAAAAGGAACTGGGTCACATAAGAAAACATAGTGGCAGTGATCTTAGCGAAAATGATGAATCTGACAGTTTAGGTTTCAGTGACTCTCCAAGTAAATAACTTGTAAAAATTGTAACGGAACTGATCTGGTTTTATTCCTTAATTGTTTTGTAAATGCTTCAGTGGCTGTAACTTTGCATCCAATTTACTTTAATATGAAAGCTGAATAGAGTACATGGTAGAAAAGTTGTTTCGGGTTCTGTCTCGTTCTCCGACGTCTCTTTTGCTATTTTATTTTGCCCGCAAAGGACGGCGGGAAGGAGAAACCGAACGAGGCGTCTCATTTCGTGGTCCTTCGCGCTTTGTCAACGTGACGAAAATGGACACCGCCATATTGGAAAACAAGGCTGCTTTTTCTTTATGTCGAGATCACCAAACACTCTATATCGTATGTAAAAAAAAACGACAAAATGTTTTATGCTAACGGCACTGACGTGGCAGTCAAGTTTAACTTTTTTGCTTTTGGGTGTTGACAAGAGGTGTTATGTCTCTGGGCATGCGCGTAGGCTACTGACCATAACAAACCTCGTTCCCAAGACATTTTCCATGAGATCTGAGACAAGCTTCCCTCCCAGATTGTAAGAGGAACGCCCTCGAGACGAGTTTGCGCCATGATGCATTCCCTGACAAATAACCGCTAATTTAATAAGGAAACTAAAGTTCCCGTAGGTTAGGTTAGCGGATGGTCGTCGCTCACCGGTTGTGCGCATGCGTAAGGTTGGTACAGTGCCCTGAAAATGGTATTTCTTAACCAAAAAGTCTGAATAGTTTATCTGGTGCGCCCAAGTATCGCAAAAAAATGAGACACTGATCTCTTGTCTGGTCCAGCCAAGATTCACCTTTAATGTGTTTTATGATACGACACAAGACAGTTGCGATCCTCAGGTGAGAAACTTTCTTATTGTTAACTACTCTACAGGGCCATTGAAGCCCATTGGCAAACTCCATCCTCACCCCTCCCATGCCAGGGGTGCCTCTTTCCCACCCACCCTAGGTCGATGATATCAACTGTACAGTAGATAGTAAATATAATATGCGCACGTCCAGCGTTAAATAGGCTTTTCTCAACTACTTACAATTACTTTGATTTACAAAGACCGCAGCAAGTTATCTACAAAATATATCCTCAAACTTGTAGAAGCAACTCATGCCTGGCATATCCCTTCCAAAGTTCGGATGGACAAATTCAATGTCCGCGATCTAATTTTTTCAAATTGAAAAATTCATATAATATTATTATTCTATACCTGACGCGAAAAATATTTGCACAGTCAATAACAAAAATCTTTGAGGGGTTTTTTCTCTCCCCCCCCCCCCCCCCCCCCGCCCCAAATTCCTTTACACGGCTACAACCAGCCTTTTCGTTTCTTAAGATTTCTTCCTTACACTCAAGAATTAGCAAAGCAAATTTAGACCAGCTATTTGAGATAAGCAAATTCACCCCTTCTGTATGTACTAAAGATCCCGAATTTGACAAGTTAGTTACGGTAAACCCTAAAAATTACCAAGCAAATCTAGACCAGCTACTTGCAATAAACACTCAAATTAACAAAAGAAAACTTAAGACCAGCTATATGTACTTAAGATCCTTAATTGATGAAGAAAATTCAGCAAGTTAGTTGCGATAAACCCTAACAAATACCAAGCAAATTTAGACCAGCTAAATGCGATAAACACTCAGATCAACAAAGCAAATTTAGACCAGCTATTTTCGATTAACACTCTAAAGTATAAAACCAATTTAGACCAGCTAGTTGCGATAAACACTGGAAAAATACCAAGCAAATTTAGACCAGCTACTTGCAATTAACACTCAAAATCATAAAACTAATTTAGACCAGCTAGTTGCAATAAACACTGAAAAATACCCAAGCGCAAATTTAGACCAGCTATTTGCAAACACACTTCCTCGCCGGCTTATACAATTGGTTAACGTGTCCTCCATACATGTAAGGGAGATTTGGTGGCAAAACTTCCCAGTTGTACATTTGTGCACCATATAAGAACCTATATAAAGTTATCATTCTTTTTCAATCAAATTAATTGCATCCACAATGCAATGCAAGTTATTTGCCCAAGCTCTCTGCTGATATACAGCTGATTCTGAAAACTCACGTGACAAAGACAAACCGCTGGATTCTTGGGACGCAGGCGAAGGCTCTTCTTTGCAGGTTCCAGCACTGTCAGCTGGGTACATTTCTTTGCTCTCATGTACCTCCCATGTGTTTTCCCGTATCACTGGTACTCTAGGCCATTGCCTCGTATCCTGGCAACTGAAACCATCAAACGTTGTATTCTTGTATTCTCCAAGTGTAACATCCAACTTGTTACACGACATTAGTGGCCAGCGGCTCATTGTCCTGTCGCTAAAATCTTCTGGGGGAGTAGAAGGGAGTTTAATTTGCATGTGAGAACAGAAAAGGCCTCTGCAACATTCCTGTCTCGCATAATTCTCCGTGACGAAAGCATCGCACTGTTTTCTTAGAGCAAGGCGTTGCTTTCTTTCTTCGGCTAAGTTTTGTCGCAAAGCATTATTGTTCTCCTGGACTTGTACAACAGTCCGCTGTAGACGCAGAATATGTTGTACAGCTTGCTGCAGAATGGCTGCCTTCGTCAGCTTCTTATCTGTCGGTGGAAGTAGTCTTTTCAAACTTGTGAAACCGGAATTAATGTTCTGCATTCTTCTTCTTTCAATCATGTTTGCGTTAAGTCTTCTTTCTTTTTCCGCAACACGATCAGTATTGGACATTCTTCTGAAAAAAGTAATCAAAAAAAGTCACAGTTTTAAAAAATTTCAAAACCATGGTTAAACTATGGTATTATTTACTTTTTTTTGTTTTGTTAGGTAATTTTCAGGAGACTTGAAAAAGTTAGAAGCAAAGAAGACTTTAAAATAGAGGAGTTCGCGCTTCTAATTGCACCATTGGTATGAAAGATGGCGGGAAATTCGTTTTTCTGTATCGGAATTCAAAGCCAGCTATTCTTCCTGAATTCATATATTTCACACTTTCTCTTTGAAAAGTTTAACAACTTTAAGTTCAAAGGAACAATACACAAACAATGCAATAACAAAAAAATAGGTGAATTTGGAGATCATTTCTCCTGTGCATTTCCTGTAATTGATCGACAATACAGAAAATATAGACAACGTGTGGGAGAAAGTTTCCTAAAAACTGATCATGGCCCTCTATGCACTCCAAACTTTCAAAACGTCAATTTATTTGCCTCATAAGAATCAAAGGCTCTCAAAGAGATAAATTTTTATTTCCAATGTATGCGGCCAATCATTAAAGTCTTCGGACAGAACTTATATGTTGCGTTCTCCGACACGATCTATTCGGCTTCTCATAAATGGTATGAAGTGAAACTTTCAAGTAAGAATATTAAAAATCTTCCAGCGTGGACGATCCTTTGTATATTGAGTAAGTTACTAGCTGATCGTGCTTAATATGTCCATGTTTCAAATTCGCCTTGATAGATTCTACCAATCAAAATTATTTTATTAACAGTCAGCCCGATATTTGAGTGATACAAGCTGGACATTTTGGTTATACTGAGTATATAAGGCTGAACTACTATTTTTTGAAGCGTAAGAGATCAAGAGATCGAAAGTTATGCTTTAACTTTTGCCGCGGGAAAGGAACTTGATGCAGTTTCGATCGCATTTATTGATTATCCAGCTAACGAACCCTTAAATTTCAGAAGATGCCACACAGATGGCTTAAAATTTACCCAGCAAAATGTCTGGTCAGAGATCCTGCTAACGATTTATTAATCGAAGATGGTGTGATAATTTTAACGGAAACCTTTTAAAAGTGAACAAAGTATATATGTGTCCGTTTTCTTACCGTTTCTTGCTTTCCTGGTATTCGTCGAAATCCATATTTCCCGTTTAGTGCAGAGAAACAGCTCTTTGAAGCACAAATCTGTGAAACCTGTTTCTCTACCGAAGGCGCACTGCAAAATTCAAACTCACCGTCGCTGTGCTCTCCGCACAATATGAGTAGAAAAATTTTCAGCAAGGATTGCAAAACAGATTTTTTCACGCTTCTAATAGAAGCATTATTATTATGAACAGGTTGAAGGTACAATGACACAGGTGATACAGCACAGCTATTGGAAGGTCAGGTGTTGCAGTGTCACGTCTGCAACTGCATAGCTATCGAGCCGTGCATAGAGATGATTGACAGAAGTTCACGATGAGTGCAAATTTGCAGTGATTAATAACGGTTTTTTTTAGGGACCCTCCACACCCGTCGGGCCACACCCAAGCTCATCTGTATGTACTTTACAAATTTTGTAGCCGTATATTACGGTTATTACAAGTGCGGATTTTGTTTTCTGAATTCCGACCAAATTTTGTCAAATATTGCCGGTACTCTTACGTCCTGGCCCCGGTTTTTCAAACGTTGGATAGCGCTATCCACCGGATAAATCACTATCCAGCAGATAAGTATTTGGGAAACCGATTGCGTTAACCACTGGAGAGAGATTTATCCACCGGATAGCGCTATCCACCTTTTGTACAACTCGGGCCTGATGTCCTTCCTCATGAATTGACGATTTTTTTTTTCATACAAAACTGGTCGTGCGAATTTGAAAATAGATCAACGTATTCTTCCTTCATCATCTTTCCTATTGACTTTATGTATTAATTCTGTTAGGAAAAAAATTGTTGCTGAAAACTCTTGGCAACCTTGTATTCTTTCAGACAGTGCTGTGGAGCGGAGAAAGTGTGTTAGCCTGGTTGGACATGTTTTTTTTTACTGGAACAAATGAACACATTATTGGAACAAAAGAGCTTTGTATTTTTATCACAGTTTAGGTTGCGTTTGTCTGGAGAAATTAAGGTTATATCGTTTGAACGGTGAACGATTTTTGGACCGTGCTGGCAAGAAATCAATGTTGTAAGACAAAGCCTGCTAGAGACATATACTGTGACTGACCTGTCTTGTTGTAACAAATGTTGTAACATTATGACGAATAGAAGTGAACTTCATTTGGCTAAAAATAGATCACAGAATAGTTCTAAACAGCTGTCTAAGATGGAATTGTAAAAATCATTTGCCCACTAATCATTAAGGGATGAAATTAGCCCCTTTTTTGATTTAGCGTTCCCTCATTACTGGAACATATCCCTTACCACAAATAAAACGCAAACCGCGGTGACAAACATGAAGCTAAACAAACGCATAGCTAAAATAGGATTTCATTCACTGACTTCAGGGGCGTAGCCAGGATTTTTCAAAGGCGGGGTCACAGAGGCTACTCACCAGATTGTCATGTCGACCTCCACGCCCATATTAACTAAAGAGAAGAGCCGTTGACGAAAATACTTCACAAAAAACCAAATTTTAAAAAAGTGGGCTTTTCAACAATGGCTTTTACGGCCAAGATATTGTCATGGCGTTTTCGCTACCTGAATATTGTAGGTTGTTTGCTCTAAAGAAGGCCTACCAAGGGGGGATCACGGGCACCCCAGGACCCCCCCCTCCCCCGCTAGCTACGCCCCTGGACTTAACGTTTCATGTCTCAACATACATTTATTCGACATTTACTTGACAGTGACTTGAGAGTATAGTCGGAGTGTCTCAGCTCATTTCAGGTAAAAAGATGTTTATTTTGATCTTATATATAAGAATTCATAGCATCTTGTTACACAATATGAACATTTTCGATATCCCCATACTTCTAAGTTAAATTCAAACACAATTTGAGTGGGTAACCTGTGTTTGTCGCCAGGATACGGTCAAGAGATTACACTACAGTTATAAATACACAACATACATATTGCAAGTAAGAGCACTCCACTGTCCAGCCCCGAGTGGGGGTTCGGTTTTCAGCGATAGCGTGCTGAAGGGCGTGCTAAAGCAGAAGCCGGTTGCTCGAAGGTCGAAACTTCCATCCTCTTTACTTTTCTTACCATGGATTTCTCGACTGGAAATTGGAGAGTGCGAGAGGCTGTAGCAGAAGATGTTCCAGACATTCTACAAATGATAAAGGTATTAAAATGCAAAGTTAACTTAAATTACTTCAAAATCCCAACTATGCTGTCATTAATTCTCCTACCCGTCTTGTGCTCACACCAAATCATAACAAAGTGGAGACCGTTCAGCTTTAAAAATTAAGCTTTGTAGTGAACGACTATAGTCTTAGTACTATAGTCTTAGTAATTGGAGCCATGATCGATTAAAGTGCAGTCCATAGTCCGCAAATTATACTTAAGGCGTTTGCCATTTGAAAGAACTGACCGGCAAGGTCATTCTCTTCGTAATGAGAATTTCGCTTTTAATCAAAGATATCTAGCCAGGTCAGTCAAATCCTAAATAATATCGGCACTAAGGAAAACTCTCGGTAAAAACCTATTTCATCATCAAAATGACCGGTCCAGCCATAGTCCTGCTGGCCAGTTCTGACTTTTAAACACCCATAGTTCGTGTTTTATAGGTCTCCAAAAAAATTTTTTCAGTTTGGTCTAAAAATAAGGGGGAAGCGCGGGCCACTCAGATCCTCCCCTGGATCTGCCACTGTGTATAATCTGATTTGTTTCACCCTGCAGAAGTCTATTTCTTGTCTTTGGACAATGACCCTCGCCCCGTGAATACAGCCTCGTTTTCTTGAGTATACCAAAATAGAACACTGTGCAGGCAAGGTGGGTGTGTTTACTCCAGATCCCTGGATGTGTACCCAGCCTGACATTCAGGTCTCTATGACTTTGCCTACTATCCGTCCTGTCTCTGTGATGAATAGTGACCAGTCACTCTGCTCATTACCCCTTTAAACCCTAATATCAAATTTCAAATTATCATTTGTTGTCCTTATTTGTTTTCAATAGAAGTAGTGGGGAGAATTTGTTGTAGATTCATCTTCTGTGATCAGGTCCCCAATTCTCATGAACACTGTGTTTTATAAAGAAGTGATACTACAAGGAGAAATTTGACGCTGATTACTCTTAGGGCTTAAAGGGTTAAGGATGAACTGAATTGTACGGTCACTACTTACAGTAAAAGGATGCACTTTTCTTGTAGAAACTGTTTGTCGGGATTCTAAAAATGCATTTGAACTATGCTGCCTATGGCAGATGCAGTATCCTTTCCAAATTAATGACTGTTGTTGTCAAAACCAGACTGACCATTTTTGAATGAAACAGCAAATCAATAAGAGAGATATGGATACATCTACATACTCTGGAGGGGTTTTAAACCCCCTAATATTCAGGTACATATTTTCTGTTTTAAGTACATTAGGGGGGATCCTGTAGGTTCCGTGGGTTCTGCGAATTATTTCTTCTCTGTAGCGGCGGCCGACTTTTCTACAAGGAGACCTATTTAATTAGAATTTTCCTAATGACTGAGCTTCTACATTTAAAGAGTTTTTAAGACCTCCAAGATTCAAACAATACTCTACCAGAGTGCAAAGAGTAGAGGAAAGATCTTAACAGAGAACAGAGTTCACCATACTGCAGTATATGCTTTGATTTTGCAGGACTTAGCTGTGTATGAAAAAGAACCCGCGTCAGTGGTCAAAGTAACTGAAGAAGGTGATCTTAATATTATGGTAAATGATGATAATGAGGCTGAGTATGATTTGAAGAATTATGCAGTTTGAGGAGAATGTTACAGTGATTTTGTTACAAATAGTATTATGGTGAGGCCTGGGACTCATCTTGTGAAACATCATGACTCCCAGTCCAGAATCATTGAGTCCCAGTTCAAGAGACAATAAGTCCCTGGGCCCAGTTGTTCGAAGGCCGATTAGCACCTAACCCGGGGTTATTTTTAGAGTTTCTGATCATCAACTTGTACACCAAAAGAATTAAGACTGAACTGCTTTTTAACCTTTCAAATCTGAGTTCAAATCTCGCACTAACCCTGGGTTATCTTAACCCAGCTTTGAACAACTCAGCCCTGGGTCATTTGTAACCACACAGTTAATCTGAAGACAGACTCCGAAACTCTGTATGACAGTTTACTGAAATGTA